TTTTTTTTTTTGGTTGATTTTGTAATATGTCGTGTTGAATCTGTTAAGCGGTGTCGCGCCCAAATCATGGTCAATGTTTGACTTTAAATTCAGCTGTAAAGTCCGACGTCTTATTATTGTGCAAAAATATACTTGGGTAGAAGGAAGCAAAGTCAAGCACATCGCACATTTCAGTGTCTTTTATTGAACGTGTGTTCAGTAACCATACATTTTATGTGCGTAAACGATATTTTTTTTCAAATCATTACAAATCAATCGAAATAGTAAAAAATAATTGAAGCAATATGACAAAGATTAGCACTTCGAAAGCGATAATTGCACTTCTATGTTTAACAGCGATTGTTGGTAAGTGAAGTTCAAAATTGTGACAGAGTGATAGTAAAAAAATGGTAACATTTGGACACGATTTTTAAAAGATAAATGTGAAATAATATGAATTGCAAAAATAAAAATTAAAAGTGAAGAAAAAATAGAAAAAAGATTCTCGTCAAATGGAGCAAATCGAAGAGCCATTATTCATATTCGATTTCGAAGTTTGACTAGCTTTGATATTGTATTATTATACATATCGATGAACCTGTTAGTTTTGCATATAAAGGTGTGTGATGACTTTTTAATCATGATCGTTGAAAAACTATCAAAACTGGAAATTTATTCTTCTTCGAATGTCATGTTGTTGTGTAATGCGTTTCAATTTCGTATTGTTTATTTGACATGTAATAAAATACAGAAATAAAAAAAAACAAGAAAACGATCTTCATATTGATAACCTCCATTTGATTGAACCTATCGGATGTTTATTTATACGTATTTTTGGTGAAATGTCTACGAACGATTCGAATTCTTCAAAAAAACATGTGATAATTGAACTAGACCGCAAATAAACTGGTTTTACCAGATGATTAGTTTTGTTTGGTTGCATATGTTTGCAATGAATGTGCGGTCTTCCCCGATTGTAGCTTCAAAAACCTATCGTTATTTGATACATTTAATTTGGTTTCCGGTGACACAAATTACCTACTGACTATTCTATATATATTTTTATAAAAAAACCCGCTTATCAAACAATTCTCTTTATATCTCTCTAAAAAAGTGACTGTGTAATACTTGATAATCAAATTCAGATCGTATTTTGAAAACAATTTCTTATCACTGCAAAATATATATGTTTTATATAGCCGAAGGTCAGCATATGCCAATTCGAATGTTAATTGGACGTATTAGAGAACACAGAAGGCATGGACATGAAAATGACGCAAGTCAACTTGATGAAGTTAGTTCACAAAGTCAAGCCAAAAGTAAAGCATTGACCAACGCAATTAACGTTGCTGGCATTCCAATTACAAATACAATATCTGGATCGAAGGCATCGTCAACGAGTGAGGGTCGTTCTGGAAGTATAAATGAACAATTCAATGTGGGTGGGTTGGGTTTTAATGCCGGTTTAGATAGCGATAAAATTGGCACCGGTTTTGGTATAAATCGAACGCCAGGTCAAATCGGTGTTCATTTGGGCGCTGTAGGTATTGGACTGAGTAACAATGGCGGTTTGTTTGGCAATAATCAAAATACACAAACTCAAATATCGGCCACAGCCATGGCCACCGGAGAAGGTGCAACTTCATCATCTTCATCGGATACAAAGTCACGGGGTTTTCAACTCGGCCGTTTGTTTGGCATTCAAAATACACTTTCAAAATCGCATGCACAATCAACATCGTTAAATGGCCAAACGTCAGCCAAAGCAACTGCAAATGCTGCATCACAAAATACAAATACTTTTCAGCCAAATTATGAATCCCAACAACCACCAGGTGTGCTGCATGATTTGGATTTCAATCTTCCGACTATCAATTTCAATCTATTACTTTTATCTGAACAATTACTCGATCTGCCACAAAAAATTCTTTACAATTTGCGATCGTAACCGGTTTGAAATTTTACATTTTAATCGATTTTTGAGCTGGTTCACCGACTCGTTTTATGTTTCGAATAATATTGCGCAATCGGAATGCTCACCTTTTCGTAAGAGAATAGCGGAGTATAGCTGTGTTGTGGTTGTATGAGATGAACTATACATAGCAGATCGCTGTTCGAAACATGTTTGAAGCGTTTTGTTTGTTCAGTTTTGTTCAGAGAGAAAAATCAAAATTTTGGTTTCGTTTGGATTTCAAATCTATGCATGCGACTACTCTCCCATTGTATACTTGACCTTTTTTCAATGTTTACTACAATCTATAGCATCACAAACTGTCCACAAAATTCTTTCAACAAATCTATGTATCTATATCAGTCAAATTAAGATTTTTTTCTTTCCATTCCACAAGTACAAGGATATGTCGTGTCAAATGAAGAAACTAGTAATGATAATCCAAAAATTAATACAAATCGTCAAAGACGTCAATCTCATCGACTTCGACATCGGCATCATCACGCTCCCGTGTTGACTCTTCAACAAAATGCTCCATCCAATAATTTTCAAAACTTTCCAAATCAAAATGGCCAAAATGTTGGCTTCCCACAATTCCAGCAACAAAATGCAAATGGCAACGCTCTAGCACAAAATCAAAATCAATTCTTTAATCAAAATGCAGGCGCCAATACTCATTCATCGAATATTCAAAATCCGTTTGGTCAATTCCAAAATACCGGTGGATCAAGTATTTCATCGAATCTTGCTAATAACGGACAATCAGGACAATTAAGTGCTGCAAACACAGATCAACAAAGTTATAATACAGCTGATGGTTCTGGACAAAAGAATAATGCTCAGAGTCAATCAGCAAATTTTGATCCATTTGGAAATTTGCAAACATCAAACTCAAATTCCGGTATGTTAACGCGTTTTTATTCAGACTTTATCGATATTTTTATTGATTTTATTTTTTTATAAATTTTCTGCCAAAAATCACAGGCGTTCAAAACACCTTTGGACCAAATGGTGAACGACAAAAAGCGTTTGGTTCATCGAATGCAAATGAACAAAATAAACATGGCAGTTCAAACAGTGGCAGTCAGACAAATGTCGAACATTTCAATGAAAACGGTGTACAAGGTGAAAAATCGTCATCATCGAGTTTTTCAAATGTTGTAAATAATGGCGGTTTGGATGGAAACTTTGGAACAAATTCAAATTCCAACTCTGGCATTGAGAATGGAAATGCGGGCGCTGGCGCTGGTGCCGTTGCAAGTGGTGGTGGCATTCGAACCAGACGTGCTGCCGAGGATTCCGTTGTTTTTCCAAAAGCTGAAGAATTAGACACACAAAATCCACAACAGAGTGTTAATGGGGACGTGAATGCAATAGAAAGCAATAAAAATTCAACACAACCAGAAGAACTTGAATCAAGATTTGGGTTACTTAGTGGTCTATTAGGTGGTGGAGGAAGAGGGCCAGGTCCATTAGGTGGAATTATCAGAGGAGTCGCAAATGGATTAAGTCAGGTCAATCAACCATATTATGGAGGTGGTCCAGTCGGCGGAGTTCCATTTCAAGGTCAAGGTTCCTATTATCCGCAAGGAGCCTATTATCCACAAGGAGCCTATCCACAAGGATTTGGCGGCGGTTATCCTCAACAATATTATCCTCAACAATATTATCCACAACAAGGTTTTGGCCGATAGATATGCCAACCAAAAATTTCAAAAATGTTTTTATACAACAAAATCCCATTCAAACTTACACTAAATTAGAATTATCTGCGAGTTTAAGTATCATTTTGTCGTTCAAGTTTTATTAAAATAAAGTTTTACACAAATTTACAAATCTGCAATTTTTCTGAGAGCGGTATAGTTTTGCTAATTTGGTGACTATTTTGTATATGATTAAGACTCTTAAATCGAAGAAGACGTCATCGGTGAACAAGATGCAACGATAATGGATTAAATCTGAAGCTTTCTGATTATGAAAAGCATGGGGCGAATCACGCTAGTAAATACTAGAAAAACTAGTAAATCTAGTGCGAATAATGACGTCACAAACGAAGCCAACTTCACACCAAAGGCCATATAATTTATATGAAAAACTACTGAGAGCCAACTTCACGCACTAGAATTTTCTAGTTTTCTAGTGAAATCTTATTAAAAACTAGATACACTAGAATTTCGTGATTGACCCCATGATGAAAAGTCAACGGACAATTATTATTATACACAAACTGTCACAAAAACGTTACATTTCAGGTCTGTTAATACTGCCCCTTTAATTCTTTTTCTTATGATTTCGTTGCTTGGTGGACTGCCATTCTTTATAATTTATAATAATTATAATTCAAATACGTATTAAAAATAGAATCAACAATTGTTCATTTCCAGACTGATGTATGATGTCAGTGGAAATTCTGTTTTCGAAACAGCTATTAACATTTTATCATGTACTCTATCAATTTCGGTCAAGTTTAGAGATAAACCAAATAAAATTTGAATGGATTCTGTGCTTATGTAAACACATTCGTTTGCGCGCATCATACATAACTGTATATCAGTTCTTTTGTTGATTTGGGATTTTGCACTGAGTAGTGTGCCATTATCACTTGGGTTTTTTGGCAGCATTTCAATTCATTTATTCACACAAAGCACTTTGAGTCTGATTAAAAAGAAATAAAATGAGAAATAAAATGACAGTCTATCACCAGATCTCGAATTCAGTACACTTGCTTCTTTTTATGCGAAACATCGTGAAAAAAATATATTTGAGAATAAAAGTTTGACTTTGCATTTACAGTGTTTTCATTGAGTTCAGTCCATAAAATTACATTTTCTCGCATCTGATCGATTTTTTCCATCACAAAAATCAATCGAAACAGCGCAAATTATTCCAGAGAGATGACAACGGTCAGAAAATTGAGAGCGTTAACCGCGGTTTTGCTTTTGCTGGCAATTACTGTAAATGGTAAGTTATGATTCATGATTTAAATCATTACAAAGTGCTGACATAATGATAATTGTGTACATATGTAGTGCATTCAACTGTCATCAATTTTTCAATTTGTCTGGTGTGATGTGCACGAAAAAATTATTAACTCACAAAAAGTCGACTATATACATTCAACGAACTCGGAACGAATTGATAATCCCATTTAGATCATAAGTAAAAAAAGACAATATTTTATCACTTCATTTTTTCGCATCGTCTTAGGTCACCCATATACGGTCAGCAGTTATATACGTTCAACCAGTGATATCACGTTTCCAAGTGAGAATGTAAGAAAAAAATCGCATATATGAACACTTTATTTTCATTAATAATATACGAAAAAATTGCATTCAAATGAGATTAAAAAAAAAAAAAAAAACAATTTTGTCTGAGCTCATATTATCTCAGAAAAACAATATGAAATTATGATTGATACATGTTGGATTATTCAATTTCAGAATGAAAACAAGAACGATTTTCCTTCACCACAATTACAGCAGAGTTACATACCATCCACCCATATAGATTCCCCCAAAAATGATACTGTTGAGCAATCTCCTCCCATTCTACAATTCGTGACAAAAACAATAAATAAAGTGAAAAACAAGAAAAAGTCTGCAGAGCTTGAATTACGTACAGGGTTTGGTATTGATACACGGTTGAGTTATTCTGTTCCTTCTAAGGAGTCTTTGAGACAATTTATTGGCGATATGTTCAGACCAATTCAAAAAAATATTCATCAGAATCCTCATGGAAATCCAACACCTTATTCCCATTCCAATAATTTGCAACCGCAGCCAATATATTATACAACTACGCAGCCTCCATTTCTTTATAACCCCAATGTTATGCAACCGCAGCTAACATATTATTCATCTACGCAGCCTCCATCTCCTTTTAACCCCAATCATGTGCAACAAAATGCAAATGGAAAGGCTGTTGCAGAAAATAAAAGTCCATTCGTCAA